AGAAAATGGTGCAGTCCTTCAGCATTGTTCGTAGTGAGGAGGTTGCTCAGTTGCTCGAAAGAGTTGAAGATCAGGCCTCGAAAGATAATGGCGTTGTATGCATCACTGAGATGTTGAATTCAATAGTAAGCAACATTCTCTGCAGAGTTGTTTTAGGATCATCGATGAGCGATGAGAGAACGAGCCTTGTTTGCGAACTGGTGAAGAGGAACTCAACTTTCTTTTCTGTTATGTTCTTTGAGGACCTTTTCCCAAAGTTAAGGTGGTTGGATGTGCTTTTAGGATCTGAAGCCAAACTTAGAACTCACTTCAACACATGGGATTCTCTTTTGGAGGAGTTTATAGAGAATCATCTAAATAGGTGCAAGGATGGGGGTGACAGCAATGGCACGAATACGGATTTCATTGATATTTTGCTTCAACTGCAGAGAGATTCGAACACGGACTTTGTCCTCACAAGGAACCATATCAAGGCCATACTAATGGTAACTATTTTACATAAATTACATTACTCTCTCTCTCTCTCTCTCTCTCTCTCTCTTTCTCTCTCTCTCTCTCTCTCTCTTTCTTCATATCTATATATCAATCACTGTACTATAAAAAATATCATAGTTTGCTTTATGATGACATTCTTCTTTAACCTGCATATGAAGGACATGTTTGCTGCGGGAACAGACACATCATTCATAACCCTTGATTGGAGTATGGCTGAACTTATTCGAAATCCAGAAGTGATGAAGAAGGTACAAGATGAAGTGAGAGAAATAGCCAATGGAGATGAGATGATAACAGAGGAACGTTTGGGCCAACTAAAGTATTTGAATGCTGTCATAAAAGAAGTTCTTCGTCTCCATCCTCCTGTTCCCTTACTGCTTCCCCGAGTGTCAACCGAAGCTTGTCAAATGCAAGGATATAACATTCCGAAAGAAACAAGAGTCATCATCAATGCATGGGCTATAGGAAGAGATGGAGCTTATTGGGATTCTCCAGATGAGTTCAAACCAGAAAGATTTTTGGACAGTACTATAGACTATAGAGGTAAAGATTTCCATTTGATACCATTTGGTGCAGGTCGGAGAATTTGCCCTGGGATGCCATTTGCAGTTGCAGTTGTTGAACTTACTC